GGAAAGGAAAGGAAAGGAAAGGAAAGGAAAGGAAAGGAAAGGAAAGGAAAGGAAAGGAAAGGAAAGGAAAGGAAAGGAGAGAATAGAAGGTGTTCTGTCACGTTAGTCTGTGTGCAGCTCGACATGCATCTAAACCCACCTATCCTCCAATAAAACGGACTGTGTGCATAGATCTGAATGCTTTGTTGAAAGAACAGGATATGGTGAAACTGGGGAAAATAGGGATACATACGAGAACCAAATACAAAATTGGCACTATTGAGTTACTGCTGAACATAACAATTAATAAATAAAAATCCAGCGATGCTCTGTGTGTGGACTGTGGGTTTGTCCTTGGATGACCATGTGCCACAGATTAAGATGGATTCTTCTTTGTGCTTCTGCCTTCTCCAATGCTAAAGGAAATAGGGTCTGGCATGCATTTGGTTTGAGAGTGCGGGCTGATGGGTAAAATGGGTTGAGTCAGCTTCAAACAATATAATTGGCATTTGTCTCTCTGGCCACTAAATGGGGCTAGGGAGCAACAACAGTATATAAAGATCCTGTGTTGGGGCATATTTGTCCCTCCAGTCACTCGATGATGCTAGACAGCAACGTATATAAACAGTATATTCTGGGGCATGACAGAAGGGTAAGGGTTAGGCATTTACCTCTCATGAAAAGCACGCATTGGGATGAAAAAGGGGTTATAAAATTGGATCTATATCTTGTGGGTGTCTCAAGTTATGGCCGTCATGAGTTACAACCGGGGGTGGGATTCTACCGGTTTGGACTGGTTCGGGAGAACCGGATGTTAAATTATCATCTGGTTCGCCAAAACTGGTATTTGAACTGACCGGCTGGCCCCACCCACCCACCCCTCCCCTCCCCTCCGAGGAGTCTCCATGCGGCCCATTTTTGACGTAGGTAAGCCTCCATGCAGAGGCTCTGGGAAGTGGAAAAATGGCCTTCCCGGAAGTTCCAGAAACGGGCCTGTTTCTCGCTTCCGGAAGGCCTCCAGAGCCCGGGGGAGGCCATTTTCAACCTCCCTGAGGCCTGAGGGAAGCCTCCGGACTCTGGGGAAGGCAAAAAAAACAGCCCTCCCAGAAATTTTGGTAGGCCCCGCCCACCATGGCCCTGCCCACCCAGCAACTGGGTAGCGAACCGGTTGCTGGGATTTTTGAATCCCACCCCTGGTTAACAACGCAAAATTTCAATTTCCATTATGGCCGTAAGTCGTAAGGGCTACTGATAGAGTTTCACCAAAGGCTAAGTTTGCATCCTTTTTTCTTTTTCTTTTAATGATCAGGCTAAGTAATATTTCTTTGGGTTTTTCTGACCCACAGCAAAGAGCTGGCAGACAACATCCCCTATGAAGTCCGACGGGCCCAAGAAATCAACGGCCTCTTTGGTCCAAAGGGCCAGCCTGGCGCTTATGACCTGATCTTCGATCTTCACAACACGACCGCTAGCATGGGTGGGACCCTCATCCTGGAAAGCTCCAGCGATTGCTTTGCCATTCAGATGTGCCACTATATCCAGGTATTCCAAAAAAAAAAAAAGGGGGGGGGAGACCACAACGGAGCCCAAAATTTATCTTGTTCAGGGAGAAATTCGTGAAGTGAGCTTTGCCCCATTTTTACAACTTTTCTCTCCATATTTGTTAGGTGAATTACTCGTCCTTATCTTTTAACGACTCCGTACTCCCTTGTGGGGTGGAGTCTGGGCAACTGAATGGAGCTAGCTGAGTGTTTCCTGGCCAGATGCCCTTCCTGTCGCCAATGTGGAGTTTTGTTCAGCAGATGTATTCTCAGTGTGCCCAGAGAGAGAAAAATATCTGTGCCAACTCATAAAATATTCCTATGCCTGTTTTAGTAGTTGCCATTAAAAAAAATGGGGGGGGGGGTGTCTGGAAGAGCGGTGCAGCAGTTTGGAAGCGAATGAATAGAACCGGAAGGGATCTTGGAGGTCATCTAGTCCAATCCCCTGCTCAAGCAGGGGACCATAGAACCCATGATGGGGAACCTATGGCACATGTGCCACAAGTGGCATGCAGAGCCATTTGTGCCGGCACTCGAGCCGCAGGCAAACGCCTCACTGCGCATGCACATGCCTCACAGCTAATTTTTCTGCGGGTTTCAGGCCTTTTTTTGGCCTCCCAGAGGCTCAGAAAAAGCCTCTGCAAAGCTTTTCAGGACGAACAGGCCCGTTTCGTCACTTCCTGTAATACCGGAAGTGACAAAATTGGCATATTATTTGGCCAGAAAAGCCTTGCAGAGGCTTTTTCTAAGCCTCTGGAAGGCCGAAAAAGGCCTCAAACCAGCTGAAAAATTAGCTTGGAGGTGCAATGCAGGTAAGGAGGGGGCGGGGGGATTGCACACACATTGCATTTTTTGGCACAGGAGCTGAGAAAGGTTAGCCACCATTGCCTTTGACCATTTCAGACAAATGGGGGTCCAATCTCTTTTTAAAAACCTCCAGTGGTGAAGCACCCGCAACTTCTGGTGGCAAGCTGTTCCACTGGTTAATTGTCCTCACTGTTGGATTAATTAAGTTTCTCCTTAATTCCAGGTTACTGTTCTGACCAAGGCTTCCTGAGACAGTAACAATCACACACTGTTCCCCAAAACCTTTTGTTTTGTTTCAATGGCTGTGAATTATAGGTATTCACAACCTGTAATGAGTCCCAAACAGTCCAACAGAAGTCTGCCACAGTCTTTTGGGATAAGGCTGATAAGCACCCACCTTTATCTCCCTTGCAACGCTGCCAATGACTAAATTGCCAATTAGCTGCACTACAAGGCCAAACGGAGCACAGAGTTAACATGGAGCTTTGGATTTTAAAGCGACCAGAATGAACAAAGTTGCTTCCTGCAAAGACTCCTGTCCCTTTGTTCCTCCTTTATGTCTTGTGGGAGGGGTCAATCATCTCCAAGCCTTATTCCCGAGTCTTAACTATTCTTGTCTTCTGACAGCTCTGCGCAAGCGCACACTGGTAACAGGCCCCCACTGTTCCTCTGCCTCACTGATATTAGATTCTGGAGGCTCCGGTGTCAGCACATCACTCCCAAATGGCCCTGGCCCCATCTCTGTGTCAGACGTAGATCCCTTGTCCGAGCCTTCTTCCAGGACTGGCCCATGTTCCTCCCCACTGTCCGACTCTGCTGCCAGTTCCGCAGGCCTCCATTGGACCACAACAGTTGCTTCTCTCCTTGGTTAGTTTCCATCCATGGGGAAGTCAGATTCACTTAACAACCAGGGTTACTAGCTGAAAAACTGCAGTGATTCACTTAATAACGGTGTCACTCAAGGTCATAAAATGAGGCAAAATGCACAACTGTCTCGCTTAGCAACAGAAATGTTAGCTGTACAATTGTGGTCATAAGTCTCCATAACGAGAACATTAAACTGATGTTTTCTGCAGCATGCTGTGTCCCCAGACAGATGTCCAGTCTTACTTCTCGAACATCCCAATTTAAAATACGCAACGACCCGATCTGTGGCAAAACATCCAATTGGTAAATATTATTATTATTTAACCCTGTACCATTTTTAGCAGTGATGTCAGTGGTGGGATTCAGCCAATTTGCACCACTTTGGGAGAATGGGTTGTTAACTTTCTGAGCAGTTTGGTGAATTGATTTTTGGAAGAAATCATTAGGGCGGAGAACCAGTTGTTAAATTATTTGAATCTCACCACTGGGTGACGTGGTGGCTCCGTGGCTAAGACGCTCAGCTTGTCGATTAGAAAGGTCGGCAGTTCGGCGGTTCGAATCCCTAGCGCTGCGTAAGAGAGCGAGCTCCTTGTCCCAGCTTCTGCCAACCTAGCAGTTCGAAAGCATGTTAAAAAAAAACGCAAGTAGAAAAATAGGGACCCCTTTGGTGGGAAGCGAACACCATTCCGTGCACCTTTGGCCTTTAGTCACGCCGGCCACATGACCAAAGAGACATCTTCGGACAGCGCTGGCTCTTTGGTTTTCTAACGGAGATGAGCATCACAGTGGTGGTATTCAGCCGGTTCACACCGGTTCAGGCGAACTGGTAGCAAGGATTTGGCAGGGGGTCGCTGAACCGGTAGTAACTTCTGGCTGGCCACGCCCCAGACCCCATCGCCCTGTTGCTGCTCGCTTGCTTGCCCAGCCCACCTGATGCTCACTCACCCCACCCGCCTGACACTAGCCCACCCAGTCACTCCTTAAGGTATTTATTTTTTTCCCCTCCCAACGATCAGCTGTTCTGATTATCAGCTGTGCTGGGATTCCCCTTGCTTACTTACTGCTTCAGCCAGGAAGCTTCTCTGAGGCCCAGGAAGGCAAAAAACAACAACAACAACAACAACCCTGTGCCCCCCTCCATTTTTTTGCCTTCCTGGGCCCCAGGGAGGCCCCAAAATGAAGTGGGGGGGGTGCTGTGCCCCCCCATGCTCCATTTTTTTTCCTTCCTGAGCCCCAGGAAAGCCTTCTGGGAGCAAAAATGCCCCCTAGGACAGGGGTCCCCAACCACCGGGCCGCAGACCAGTCCCGGTCCGTGGAACATTTCCTACCGGGCCACCGGTTCGCTGGGCGCCGCCATCTTGTTTGACGAGAAAGTGCTTCCGGGTGAGCTTTTCCGGTTGGAAAGCGGTGTTTGGGTGCTGAAAGAATCCTCGCGCCTTAGTTTCATCGAAGTGGGCGGCAGCTTCGAATGAAACTAAGGCGCGAGGATTCTTTCAGCACCCAAGGAAAGGCGAGCCGAGCGACCGTCCCGAAGCCGTCCCGAAGTGAAGCCCATCGACAAAGGTACAAAGGAGGAGTTGAAGGTGGCGGGGAGAAGCGGGGGACGGCTGGCTGGCTGGTCGCTTGGCTCGCCTTGCCTTGCCATGCGTGCTGATGCCGGTACCGGGCCGTGGATCATTTTGTGATGCCGGTACCGGCCCATGGCACAAAAAAGGTTGGGGGCCACTGCCCTAGGAGGCTTCTCTGAGGCCCAGAAGGCCCCAAAATAGGGTGGGGTGTTGCTGCAAAAAGCAAAAAAAAAAAAAGCCACGGCCACCTAGTCACATGGCCATACCGCCTAGCCACGCCCACAGACCCAGTAGTAAAAAAATTTGAATCCCACCACTGGAGCACTGCCCCCCTAGAGCCGGAATCGACTAGCACGTATGTGCGAGGGGAACCTTTATCTTTACCTTTACCATTTTTTAGCAAATGTCCTTGGGTTTCTAGGCACGTTTTCATAATTCAGTTATCAGGCAGTCCTCGACTTTCAACCGTTCGCTTACCGACTGTTCGATTGCCTACCAGTATCCCTCGGTATTCATCTGGCTAGCATCCTGTCAGTGTGCGAGAGAGTTGAGGGCTGTTTGGAAAGTGAAACAGTGTTTGTTATGTGAGCAAGAAGGAGACAGCAAGGAGCCTGGGCGTGGCTTAGCTCAACTGTTGTGTACTAAAGCTGCTTGGTGCTGTGAAACTGAAACTGAAACAAGCTCCTCTCCTCTGCTTGTGTTTTGCATTTGGAACAGATTTCTTTTCAGGTGGGGAGGGGGAGTAGAACTCCTTAGCATCAGAGCGTGTTAATAATAATAATATAGGAAATATTAATGCTCTGATAGTCATTTCAAAAAATCCTTTCTTAGTGAGCCCCTAGAAGCCAAGATAGATAGATAGATAGATAGATAGATAGATAGATAGATAGATAGATAGATAGAGAGACAGAGAGATTAATAAATAATTAATATATTGCGGAAGGAAGGCCTCTTTCCGGTTGGAAACACATGGAGAAGACCTTCATTCTGCAGTGGATAGACAAACGCTAAAATGATGGTGATATTGATATTAATAAATAACAAATATTTATTAAAAATAAATCATAAATAAATAAAAACTGGGCAGCCCACAAATCTCTCGAGGGCCACCACAGAGAAGGAGGACTATATCTCCTCTGGTGTCCCCATGGAAGAAGTATTAATGGTTTCTTGGTTTTTTTTCTCTAGGTGTTGAAGTTGGCCCTCAGCCTCAAGGCGTTCTGAGGGCCGACATTTTGGATAAAATGAGGACAATCGTCCGACATGGGCTGGATTTCGTGGCAAAATTCAATGCAGGTACAGCATTTCTAAGGTAGTCCTTCTTGCCATTTTTGGTAGCACACAATCTGCCAGTGGAAATGTCAATTTTAAACACCACCAAACCTTTTTCTAGAATGTTCTCAGCATCTTCACTGTTTTGAGGTGTTTTTTTATGTTGTTTGGTTTTAAAAAAATAATAATATTGAGCATTTAGAATAGAATAGAATGAGGGAGTTGGAAGGAAGGGACCTTGGAGGTCTTCTAGTCCAACCCCCTGCCTAGGCAGGAAACCCTACACCACTTCAGACAAAGGGTTATCCAACATCTTTTTTTAAAAACTTCCAGTGTTGGAGCATCCACAACTTCTGGAGGCAAGTTGTTCCCCTGACTAATTGTTCTAACTGTCTGGAAACTTCTCCTTATTTTTAAGTTGCTTCTATTGTTAGGCAAGAAAAGTTAGAATGACTTAGAATAACTGTATTTTTCTTTTGAACGTGACATTAATCAGCAAACATTAAAATGAAATTTTGTTGCCTATGGCTCTCAAATATACACTACATAAACATAACAAAATAAATGAATGAATAAATAAATAATGCATATGCCCACATATATTACATGACACGGACACAGTTAAAATGCAAAACATTAAAATGTTGAAAAAAAATATTGAAAAAAATATATGGTTTCACTGGTTAATTGTTCTCACTGTCGGGAAATTTCTCCTTAGTTCCAGGTTGCTTCTGTCCTGGATTAGTTTCCACCTGTTGCTTCTTCTCCTGCCTTCAGGGGCTTTGGAGAATAGCTTGACTCCCCCTTCTTTGGGGCAGCCCCTGAGATATTGGAAGGCTGCTATCCTGTCTCCCCTGGTCCTTCTTTACATTAAACTAGACCTACCCAATTCCAGTAACCGTTCTTTAGATGTTTTAGCCTCCGGTCCCTTAATCCTCTTTGTTGCTCTTCTCTGCACTTTCTCCAGACTTAACTGACTTGCCAAGCAATAGAAGTTTTGTTTCCAGTAGTGTTTGTAAGTCAAAAGCTACCTGTAAAATATATATATATTTTTAAAAAGACACTCCCTACATTATTAAAGAATGGACACTATGCTTCCTTCTTTGCTTATTGGGTCAGGGAATAGAATAGAATAGAATAGAATAGAATAGAATAGAATAGAATAGAATAGAATAGAATAGAATAGAATAGAATAGAAAATATGGAATAGAATAGAATAGAATAGAATGGAATGGAATGGAATGGAATGGAATGGAATGGGATAGAATAGAATAGAATAGAATAGAATAGAATAGAATAGAATAGAATAGAATAGAAGA